TTGTTTATTCCCTTCGATTGAATGCCTGGGCTGGCACGAATTTGATGAATTTTTGAGCTGCTTGAAAATGAAACCCAATTTAAAAATGTGGAGTGGCTGTTTTAATTGGTTACACTTAATCTTGCATTTAAGTGTTTGTGTTTGTGCAGGTGAAATTGATCTTATAAAATGCTTTATGGCATTAAGGTGCATAAAAGATCAAACTTTTTGAATTTTTTTTTCTCAGGATAATGGTAAGTAGGCACTTTGCTTTCTCATTGAATTATGTAGCTGTCAATGTTCGAATTATGTTCATGTAATTCTAACTACAATTACTTGTGTGCAAATTACTTGTTTTTGCCAATTGAAAAAACGAGTAATGTATTTCGCGGCCATGCTGAATAAACCTTGATTTTGAGTTCTTTCACGGTATAAGAGTATATATGTTTGTAATCAAGGCTTGAATGCACGTTTTCTTTCTCGAAATACGTGTATATATATATGTGCCTTTGTATTCAAGGGCGTGGCCCTGCATATCAGTGCATTTTATCACTGGCGCCTATAAGTATTGAACTTGTTTCGAAAGTTGCATATTATCTACTTTGGTCTTTCTGGGTTGTGCATGATAGTCTCGGAGGCCAGTTGCACTGAATCGAACTTTGCCATTCATGCTTGTTCAGTTTGATTTATGTTGAGATATTTAGGTACAAAATTGAAAGGTTATTGGGTAACTTTATGGTCAGCCATTAGTTAGATTTGCATTATTGAGTTGATTGATTCACACCAATGATCATGGCCGTGTTTGTGTTGGTTGGTTGAAATTTGAGCTCTTATTCTCCGAACGCAGAGTGATTTATTCAATTGTTAGTGTCATGTGGGATGATGTCGGTTCGATTTTCTGTATGGTTCGGTATTTCATAGCGTGTGATTCATTATCTAGGACCAAATTGAAAGGCATGAAAAGGGCCTTTTCCCTTTTCACATAGCGTGTTATCGGGTTTTTACTTTTTACTTGTGGCTCACACAAACACATACATTGTTGTATATTACTATGAACACTTAATATATACTAATGTATTGACATAAGCTAGACTTAACCTAGCAACACAACATTAATGTAAAAATTGAAAAAAAAAAGGGAAAGGAAAAAAAAATGGAGTCCCAACATATGGAAAATATAATCAAAAGAACAAAAATAAAGGAAGAAGAAGACAACTGTTCTAAGTACACTAGTGTCAAATACATAAAACAATGTCCTCAAGCTTTTTCCCCTTGTCTGGCTAAAGACCGAATACTACATCGGTTTTGAAGTTTTTCTGGTAAAAGTTGAATCCATGGCAAAGCGGGTCGGGCTCTTGAATTCTTGGGCCGAGGTGGCTCTACTACTTTTTATATTTCCTGAAAAGCCCTCGAATCCTCCAGGCCTGGAGACCATAAAAGAAGTGGAGTATGATGCTTGTGAGGATTGAGTCTCGTTCTGGAATTACTGTGCAGGAATCAGTAATCAGCAGCTTGGAAAATTCGATCCTACCCATGTGGGCAGTGCCCACATGTGGTATTTCACCATTGATTTCACACACCCATGTGGGTGTGTGTGTGTTTATGTGTATATCAATGGTGAAAAGCCCCATGTGGGCACTGCCCACATGGGTAGGATCGAATTTTCCCAGCAGCTTCATGTGTGTTTTTTTTTTCTTTTTTTTTTGGTTAAAAAATGACTTCATTTGATTTATTATTTTAGAAATATTGTCATTGTAGACTAGGTTTAAGTAGAGTTGTTAAACAACCAAACGTCCAACAATAAGAGCTCGTTCGTCTGTTAATCGAGCAGAGTTCAATAGAAAATAAGGCTCATTCAATAATCGAAGGAACACGAGCTCGTTCGCAAACGTTCGATAATATTCTTGAACATATATATATTTGTATGATATTTCACACACAAAAACTAAAAAATATAAATTTTATTTCTTCACTTTTGTACTTTGAACAAACAAAATTGAGTTTATCAAACAATTTTTTTAAAAATATATATATTTTTCAAAATTATTCAAACACAAATGAATTCGAACTTTGACGAACAATTAAATGAACGTCAGATAACAATTTTTGCTAGAAAAATAAACAAACGAATTTCATTTATGCGGGCCTTTTACATAATACTCATCAAATGTCTGTGACATTTAGTTGACTGTTTGTTTAGTCACACATTTTATGGAAAAGAAAAGAAAATAATGTTCTTAACATGAAAAAATCAAAAATATAAAACCAAAAAAAATAAAATAAAAAAATAAAATAGCATGCTACAGCCGACCAACTCATCTTGTCCACATATTAAGAATACTGTAAAATTCTTGGGAGCCGAAAACCATTACATTATGGACATGTGGCAATTTATGTCCACCTCAGATATTCTACCCTGGATTTATTTAAAAAAATTAATGGTGGATTAAGCAATAAGCTTAATTAAAAAGGCTTAACACAAATAATTAGTGGTTGGTGTATAGAGACACAGTCATGAGTCCACGGTGGTTGAGGTGAGGTGGCCGAACATGAGTGGCTGAGACATTTGCCCGGAAAAATTATGGTGGGGCTGAGCTGTAATGGGCGGTGGTGGTGCATTTTGAAATTAGGGTTTGTGATTGAAGGTGGGTTCTTGTGATGTGATTTGTCACATTAATCTCGTGATTTTTATATGTTTCTCATCTTGCATTTTAATCATTCAATGTTGTTCTTAGTTGGGTTCTGTTTAGAACAGTGTAGAGCTGTTAAACGAAATGAGTCGTTCCCGATATCGGCTCTCGACTCGATTCATTAAAGTTCGAAAGTAAAGATTTTTATATGATTTTCTATAATTCGGCTTGTTAAGACTCGACTTAAAGCTCGTTAATACTGAAAACTCGCCTTGGCTTAATAAATTAAGGTTGAAGCCCCAATTCAAATATCACAAGCTCGAGTTTAGCTCGACTCATCTACAATTTTACATCTCTTGACAAGAACATGTAATTTAAAATCACAAAAAATATTGAGATATTTTTGAATCTTTTATCTCGAAATGTTCTACTAAACTGAATTCATCAATCTAAATGCAACCTGAATATTTTATTGGTAAGATTTTTGTTATATTTTATCATGATGTGGTAGTAACATTTATACTGTCTTAGCTTCTAAGGTAAGGTATATCTCCGAAAGTTACTTCTCACCATTACAAAGATCATCATAAAGGGGAAAAAAGAAGTGTAAAATGGTGAAAATAAAATAAAATTCACGAGGTATTCAAATGAGTCGAGTTGAGTTGACCTGAGCAGATCCGACGAGTCAATCTCGTTAAACCTCGAATCAACTCGACAATAACACACAAATGCTCAAAATTGGCTCAAATTTTATTAGCTCAGGATCACTTCTAATTCAATGCCAATTTTGCTCGACTTTAAGCGGAATTTAACTTAAGTTAGGGGTGATTAAGTATTTACATATATACTCGAGCGACTCATCGAGCTTACAAAGTACAAGCTCGATCTCGAATCGAGATCTAACTCGAGCACATTAGCCCCTCGACTCGTTGCAACCCTACTTTCATCCCACACTTCAAACTAGGTGGAATACTTTGAGCACTACTCTCCATTGAAAGTAGAAGAAGAATTATAAATGCAATTCGAACACAAAAAAACTCCACCACACAAAAGAGTATTAACATGTAAGGGCCAAAAGGATAGTACATAGTAGTGAGTGGTAGGACCCGTGAAAATGGACAGTATGATGTAATCTACTGAAATGGGGCGGCACAAAAATTCAATCCCATCA